GCAAAATTCGAATGAAGTTTGGACATATTGGCAAAAAATCATTCACCAGTGATCCTCAACCGTTAAATCCAGTGTTCATACAACTGTTAGAATGCATGCCGGCGTTTTGTACATGATTAATTCGTGACTTATGCATTTCACGCCCCCTTCCAGTAATTGTATAAAGCAATGTATCCCCTCAACTTGAGGCGCATCCTCAAGCGATTTGTACTGGACTAAATACAGTAGCAAATTTACACGGCGGTAAATTGCCTGGCCCAATATTTTTATCGTTGTCTGATTATACACCTTTTTCTTGAGCGGGAATAAAAACTGAGACGCTCTAATTAATTCCTTCGCCTAATTGTAATCGCATGTTTTAAATTTCCGTTCAGAGGAAAATAATCACAAGTTAATTTTCCGCTTCCAGAAAACAAACGACACCTTTCACTCTGGCAAAACTTCTTGGTAATTCCCGACCGAATCTCTTCTGAAACTTCCCCGAATTAACTTAACCCGCGGAAAATTTCTCAGAAAACAAAAGTATTTATACAGTGAGATTCAAAAAAATAGTCAAATATAATTTTGTATGCGACATAACGATCTATTCGATGGTATATTAAAATTTCAGGCATCTCAAACTTGAAATCGATTCACTTTTGTTTTTTAACTGCAATGACTTGTTTTTGAAAAGAGCAGAGTTGATGAGGGTCTTTTGTGTCATATGGCACACGTCATGCTAGATTTAATAAGTTTTCTAAATATTGAATCACGAATTTATCCATTTTTTTGTATATCTACCATATGCGTATTTTATGTTGTCGTACAACAAAATGATTGCTCTTTTCAAAGATCTTAACAAACATAGGCAATGCATTCGAAAATCAAAAGTTGCCTCTATTTCCGGTTAAATCGGAAGTGACACAGAAAGTTCCAATATGCGACCGTATAGAATGTGGTGTCACATAAAATTATATTTGAGACATTGTTCGTATTTTATTAACACGAAGGTTTGGTCTTAAAGGTTTTTTACATTATCCCAAACAGGAGAAATTTTCACTATGTCACAATTTTCCACTTTTTACGACTACGAGTTAAATTCTGTCTGTAGTTTCAACAGCAAACAATTATACTGGATTTTAACAATAGCTGTTTATGGTAACGAAAATATACTGGCGCGCTTAATTAGTATGTCCTTGAGCGCGTAGGGCTGTCAAGAATAGACTAATTAAGCGCGACAGGGCTGTTTTAATCTCCATACGGAACACGTTTTAGTCGACGTTAACTATTTACTACTTCCTCTTAATTTCGCCATAATCCGTATTTTTCGGCGGGGATGAAACTGACACGTTAGAATTAACTTTAAAGTTCTTTTTTCTGTTTTAACTGTAACCTTACGGGTTGTTAAATTTTACGTTCCAATATAATTAATTAGCACTGGGTTCTTTTTTATGCCCGAACACCTCTGAAAACGAATTTACCTTTTAATTTTGTTAAATTACGTACTGTTTGCTATGGTAACCCAAATCCCGAACTAATCTCGCGTTTACTGTTCGAAAAACAAAACCACGTACTATCTCTTTGCCCACTACCGAAGGAAATAATAAAGAAAATGGCAAACAGGGAGTGCTCAAAATGCGAAACCATAGGAAGGATATGACACTACGGATTGAAGAAATCAATCAGATATAATTTAAAAGGACTTCGGAAAAATAACGGACAAAATGTGAACATTTCAATACATTTCCATTCCCTTATAAGATTAAACAGTAATAAGGCGATAAGATTGTAAACGTCAGAAGAAATCTAATGTAAACTAATTGTTTTAATATCATCACCAAAAGCAGCATACGAAATTTCTCTGTTCAAGATGTCTAATGCATATACACTTTATTTCATCATGGTTTTAACACCAAGAATTTAAATGTTGACTGATTGCCAAGCTTAATGATTTGTGAGGTAATGATTAATGACTTTACATAGCACACTCTCTTAGCACTTTCCTATTGAATTAAACTGTATTAAATTAACGCTTGTCAAACAAAAATTAGATGCCTGACATTATTTGAAGATCTCGTTGCCGCTAGATTGATTACTAGTAAATACTAAATGCATAATTATAATAATGATATTCTGTTTCGTGCCGTAGAAAATATGGAATATTACCATGCGGACACGACGCCCTTGCTATACTCCCCGGTATCGGAAAATGAATAAAAAAAGGATTTGTGAAAATTACAAATGTAATCCGGAGTTTATCGACCGTTAGCTGTTATGAAGTTATGAATCTCTTTTGTAAACATTTTAATCTAGAATAAATACGTGTCAAGTTGGCTTCAACATTGATTTATTTACAAAGAAATTTAATATTCCCTTAAAGATAATCCAAACAGTAGTAATTAATATCCGTGAAACAGCGTATTAAGTGGTAGACAATTGAAAATAGCATTTAATTAGTTACAGTCTCTTCCTGAAGCGTGGAGAAGAATTTTGATGCTTGGCGTTTCTCAAAACATAAAAGTACACCCATAACTAACAAAGAATGACAGAACGTAATAAATTTGAAATTCAAACTAGCGCCCCCTCACTCTTTAAACATCCTACATCCTGCAATAATTTTAATTTATCCTAGTTGACTTAACACGTATAACCGAAGTGTTAAACTTACCCTATATATCTTTAATTCCAGAGCGGCTTCCCTTGCCGTGATAAAACACAGAACTGCACTTGAAAATTTAATCAACCGGTTCTGCAATGATTTAAAAGCATTTTAAGTAGCCTAAACGCTTTTAAAAGAAATATTTTCACTCGAGTGTGAAGGGTGGAAACATTTTGGAACATGTGGTTTAGTCTTCCCAAAATGACATTTTTAGACCGACGTCATCAGCAATCGGCAGAAGTGTGTTTGTGTATTCGCGGCCAAGGAGAGGTCCTTTCAAAATAGCGCCTGTTTTTAAAAATCATTTAACGCCACCCGGGCGTAAATTTCAACACGCGGTATTATTGAGCCATTTTACCGCAGAGTGATCTGGTAAAAAGATCTCTAATTGTCGTCGTTTAATTAGACAAGAAGTGCTTTTATCAGCGCGTGGTTTTTAAAAGAAAAACGTTCAACAATTTATTTCTTCATTAAGTTTCGAAAATAGTTTTGTTCAAGTTTTAATTTATTGAGATGTTTGGTTGAGATTATGTAGACGTTTTTAAGAGAGTTTTATTGCGCTTTCGTTCGGTGCTGATGCGTTTAATCCTATTAAATCTTGAAAGTATCGTCTGGTTTTGTGTGGTTGTGACTATAAAAAAGAAAATTGTTACTAGCATATGTTACATATTCGTTACGTAATTCGATTTGCTCACAATTAATTCAGAGATAATCAGGGAGCAATTACTCTCTCACAATTACTCTAATTTCTAGTTCCATTAAAGTGTGTGCACTCTGTTCATGTTCATTCTATAATGAATCTTTCCACAATCTCTCACATAATAATATCATATGGGATTTTGTACGTGAGAACAACCCATGAGTGAAATTCGACGTTAGGTTCACAGAAAGCTTAAGATTGACAGTTTATTAATTTTTGGTTTGTTGCTTCTTAGTAAAGGTTCTGGGTGTCTTCACACACATGATTTAGGCTTGCTTCCTATGATTTATTTGGCTAGGTAAGAGATTGTTAGTAAAACGCTTCCTTCTGACAACACAAAATCGTCACAGTGTAATTTGGATCCAAGGAATGCGTGTCCTACGAATTCCTCCAAGAAGCAACTGTTTGGAACCACTAAACCGTAATATTGCACTGTATTTTAAATAGTAAAAATTGCTAACGTGACAATATAAAAAGTGTTTATAAAAAGAGTGGTGATACCAAATCGTCACCATGAATATCGAAGTTTTATCTCAAGTAGGTTAAAACGTTTCCAGAAAGTTATAAAATGTGGCAAACAGATTTTGCGAAACTATTCGACAAATTGTAGCAAACACGTTAATATAATGAGGGAAAACGATTGTTACCTCGTATTTATGTGCTCGCTTTCCGGCGCCGACGACGTTATATACATTTATGTACCTTTGAGTTTGTCGCAGATAAATAACAAAGCATGAAACCGCAACTGGAACGTAGTTACCATTATTGCTGGCTGCCATACAATCGCGGAATCCTGAAAAGCGCGTTTTTCATCCTGTCAATTGTAAATGAGTTATTTACGTTTTCATAGAATATGCATCGTGCAAAGTTGCGCTTCGCGTTTCTATAAATTGCATTTAATTAAATCCACAAATTTTCTGCTAAGTTGCTACACCTTTCAGGGCTAAAGTTTATTGGTCGGTACCTACTTTTTCCTGCTTTCGTCAGATGTGAAGGAGATAATAATTGCATATAAAACTATTAAACTATACTCGTACTTGGATTTTAGGTTCATTTCATTGCAGAAAGATGCCCCACTTTCTTCCCTTTTGACATGTAAAAACCGCAGGTATTAAAAAAATAAGTTACGCTATACTTGACCCTTCAGGGACAGTTATGAAAATATACACAGCATCATATGAAGAATATTTTATACAAATTATTTTTTGATATCCCCCTAGTTTCCGCAACAATCCACTATCTCAAAATATTTGAGACACCCTGTACATAAATTAATTAAGTGACACCCAAATATAAGATAACGAAACTGATAGTCGCAATGTTAACCGCAACTCACAAAAGAAATGACCGCTACATTCCAATTCGTCTCAGGTGCAGTTAAACCCCAATAAATCATCCCCCTGTTTTTCCAAAATCCGCCCCGTTACTTTTCGTTGAATTAAATTAGTTAATTAAATAGTAAACAGTAAATAGAATTATGTTTGTTGTCATAAATTAGCATTCATGTGGAGCGGGGATATCAATAAATTTGGGAAAAAAATGAGCCCTTATGGAAAACCTTGTAAAAAATTATATTACCATACAAAAGACACAGAAAAGGGACAATCACGTTAAAAATATGAGAAAAATAGGTAGCTAAAATCATGCGAGAAATATATTTACCTTTCCTCATCACCGAAAGGGAACTAAATCTCTCTCGTTGATCCTTTTGCTGTGGTGTCCTACCTCATTTCCACATCCCCTTTGCAATTGTCGAAAGTCGAATCTGCAATAGGAAAAAATTTCAATTACTGCGACAGAACACATAAAAGAATTAAAATTATGGGTCAATGCTATCCGGTATGCATATAACCGAAACGTAAAGGATATACAAACACATTAAAATTATAAGGAAAATTGGCTTTCACCTTTGAGAGAAAACATATTCTCCATGGCCTATCGTTTTCCTATAATGTCCAACTTTACTTATATGGCATAGAAAAAGCACAAAACATGTTAAAATTAAGAAAAGTGTAACGCAGTACACGTTCTCCGCCTGCAAATGGCCAGTGTTAGTGATTACTATGCAGATGAATACCCGGTTTTAAGTTGGGCGCTTCGTTACGAAGATTGTCGCTCTAAAAATATTTATTTCTATGTATGAGTTGGAAATATAAGGCAGAAGTTAGTAGCTTAATTTGTAGAGCCGCCCGATAAGTAAAATAAGAGACCGTCTGTAGTTTGTTGTTTTGTTCCTGTAGGAATATTTAAGAAAGAACTTCCTATAAACGTATGTATAAAACGTGTTAACCCTTCGATACAGTGTGTTAGAGTTTCAAGAAGAAAAAAATCAATTTTTTATTGTCATTTTCATGCCACTTTAAATATTTTTACGAAATTTGGCGGACGACAACTTTACAAAGTGTTTATGTTTAGAAAACAAAACAAAAGCTGCTTATTACCTACTAGATCGTTTTTAATTTTTATTACTACCTAATTTCAAAACAGCGTATAAATGAATGAATTTAGTTTTTTTATGCGAAAACGGTGAGTCGTACGAACAAAAGTTAAGATTCAAATTTGTTCGAAATTAAATCGAGACTGCACACATAATTTTAATTTTAAGAGAAAGCAGTGGCGCACCACTTTTTCCTTTAAAAATATCTAGTCTGTCTCATTGATTTTTTCTTAAACCTTTAATCTCAAAAGTTAAGACGTTTTGGACATACGTTCATAGGAAGTTTTTTTCTTAAAATGAGACTAAAAATCAGCCTCTTAAAAATTAGCATGTTATTAAGAAACACCCTGTATAACATAGACATGTAAAAGAATGAATAATCCTATGGAATTGCACTATAAAGTAATGTAAAATCACACAATTCATATGAGTATAGACCCAAAGAGGAATTTTCGCCTTCCTATCCAACAGGACGTTTTCCGCACTATTTGTCTTCTAAATAATTAAAATGATAGCAATAACTTGTCGTTCTACATAATATCTTTGTCAACTCTATTAACTTTTACAATAACCAAAATAACAAATGGGGATCAAAATTATGAACTACCAAAACAATTCTTGTTTAAACAGTTGTTGCTTTATTGAGTAAATTGACGACTCCTTTATCGTTGACCTCTTCATAAATTTTGGTGTACCCAAGCGCTTAAACAATTACCCGTCGAGATTAAATCCTCTGTTTATATTCAAGTTTAGTTTAAACACATTGTAAATATCGGGCACTTCCTTACAAATACAAGGACTACGAAGTAGAGCGTGCTTTACAGTTTTCCCTTCCCAGTGCATGTGTAAACCACAAATAAATTTGCCTCCAGCCATTTAAGATAAAGCCATTAATCTAAGTAATTTATGAATATTATATATTTATAGTATCCCATGCTTCGTGTCATGCTTAAAGTAAAAGGACCTAATGCCGGTACTTGTAAATATTAATAAAAACTAACCTTTTTGAAATAGGATGATAACCGAAGTAATTAATTTATAAATACATTTTCATTCGCTCCCGTAACGAGATCTATTCCATTTGAGACCCCGTAATTTATTCATCAAACGTGTAAAAACACGACCGTATCCATTTCATAAGAAATAAATAATGCAGATTTTCCGTTACGTGTAACCAAAAGAGGCACGCACGAGTAAATGGTAGTAATTTTAAGTATGTGTAACAATTTTCCAAGCCTACCTGCAAGGATGAGTAGATGTGTCAATGCGTGTTCGATCATTATTAAGGGGTTGGATTGATAAATAATGTATAAAGTTTCAATCGATTGTAGGTGTATAATCAAACACTATAAATTATTTACGCCGAGAAGTTTCCATTATGCAAGGCAGCCTCCGTATATCTGCATACACATTTCGTCAAAAATTCCCAGACAAATTTTATGTTTCTAATGATGCTATTATTGAAAACTGCGTGATTATACCTTCGTTTGTGTTCTTTGTGCTTTGTAAAAATGGCAAATGGTACAAATAATGACGGCATTTTTAAAATGTAAGTATCTACTCTTATATGATCATACACAGTAGCAGTCGACAGGAACGTATACAACTTTAATGTAAACTACAGGTTTCGGTTATACATTGAATTGACCATCTGTGAATTCCTGCATTAATAATTCAAAATAGGAAGAAACCGCTCACGCTTTTGTCCATTTAGTATTTGAAAAAAGCCACGAATCGGTTTCAGGAACCAAATTGGTATATTTTGCGTATTATTTACGACCATCCCATCGCCGATGGTAATCTATATTTAGTTTCTTAATTACATAGCACCAGTTGAAGTTACCTAATAAAAAATTAACGAACACCGACAAAAGAATGCAGTATCTAGCCGTTTTGTAACACGAAACTCTATTAGCACCGTTTTAATAATTAAAGATCATTTCAAAAATTCTGTTTAATAACCTACTCAAAGCATCAATCAAACGTTTACACTTAATTTAAAATACCTCGACTAATTAGCTATACTTACGTTTGAAAATGTACACCTAGTAAAAATTGTTGTAATGAATGCTTTTAAGGCGGTTCTTTAATTTGTCGTAATTTCGGTATGTCCACAGGCGTTGAAACCTAGGATCTCCAAATTAGTATTTGAAGCGAAGCAAGAATAAGATATTTCATTAACATAATTATAGTTCCAAATTAATTAAAACATTTTTCTCTGAGGGTATTATTTAATTCTTCCTGAATCGGTTACACTCAAAATAAAACATTTTTAGGTTGCACCTCAATATGAGATATTTTTCGTTAGTCGAAAGAGTACTGCAACCTGCATTAACTAATCGCGCAGCTTCAGTGGAAGCGAAATATTTTACAGAAGCAAAATCTTGAAGTGGTGCCAACAGCTTTATAAATGCACAAATTAAATTTTTAGAGCGGACATATTAAATCTTATGGGCGAAGAAATGGAGAAGTAAATAGAAATTAAGAATTAATGTATATGTATTTCCACGTTTAATTTATTTTAAATCCGCTTTAGTTCATAAATAAACTTGAGGCGCATACTTTATTCTACCAAATTTCGTTAAGCATAAATATAAATGCGGTGTGGTTGGTTAAATTGCCAGGAAATGATTTTTCCGCTATTTTATTTTTGATACTCTGCCAACATTTACACTACTGTCTTGAATTCTTTCTTCGTTCTTGTTTGTTTTTAATTTATTGTAACGTTTTCGTAAAGATATTAATGTTAAATTGTTTTTTGTTATGCTTTTAGTATGTCAAATATCGTACATTTAATTGCTGAAACAGTTTTGGCGTGAATTGCTTGCTTGATATTTTGATGGTTTCCCAAGCTTTGCGGTTTGCTTTCTTATTTCTTGTAGTGAATAATTTACTACGGTAGTGACGACAAAGTTTGAAAAGATAGTTAGTTATTTACGTTCAAAATTATGTTTATTGTAAATCGGAAGTAAACACCATCCCACCGCCTTTTGAAAAGGTTACCGATGCTGTGCGATTTAAAAGCTTTCAAATATTGTTGTGGTAGAAGTTTAAAAGCAAAATTTAAAAAAAAACTCTAGAATCTCTCTCTTTTCCGTCATTTTAAATCGCAACATAACTAATAAAGCGAGATCTAACACGGCTCTAAAAGAATCCATACCGTCGACTTCAATCAATTACGTATATGCCCGCGAAAGTTTATGATGTAGTAAAGGACTTTCCGAAATTCTCATGGAAACTGGAACAGGATTTTATGTTTTACAGTCGAAAAGAAACATGAAATTTAGATCTTAAGTTTCTTTAAAGGCGTTAGGGTGTACACCGAAAGAGACTTCCCGAAGTTCCCACGGGAAAAATGGGAATAGGGTACAGAAAAAAACGGTTTGATGTTCGCCGGGACTGTTAGCAAAAATAGTTTTATATAAAAGTCAGGAAAACCCGAAAACGACACATTACTGGCGAGGGAATATTAAAGTACGAGACCCCTTTAATTTCCGAGTCAGGTAATGTCATTTTACTGACGAGCTTTGTATTAAATTTTACCCAAAATCGTATTTTAGTATAAAATTTCATTTTTATGTAGAACTTTTGATTAATGTCAATCTGTCAATGATGACAGGAGTCATTATAAACATTTATCAATGTCACAAATGCGGCCGGTAAAGTGACAGGTGCGGCCAGTAATTTCCGAGTCAGGTAATTAGATTTTACTTACGAGTTTTGTATTAAATTTTAACCGAAATCGTCTTTTAATACAAAATTTCAATTTTTATATATCTATAACTTTTGATTAATGTCAGTCTGTCAGTGATGACAGGAGTCATTATAGATATTTGTAAATGTCAAAAATGCGGCCGGTAAAGTAACGATGCGGCCGGTAAAGTGACAGGTGCGGCCAGTAAAGTGACAAGTATAGTCTGCTCTGACTCTGTCATGTAAACTCAAATTTTCTGACAGAAAGTAGGCATGGAAATGAAGGTTTCAGGACGATTTTGGGTAAATGAATGTTTCAGGACGATTTTGAGTAAATAAAATTAATCTTCGTTGCATGTTGACCAGTAAATATATCTTTAAAAAAGGGCTTTTTGGTTTCTGGATACATGAAGTATCCAAGGTACTGCAGTGAGACCGGGGGTAAATTGACTTATTATTATACCACTCACTTTCTTCCAGACTCAGACTACTTAGATGATAGTGTTAGGACCCTAAATCTTAGGTTTCGTTTTGAACTTCGATATCTAACAATAAATGTGCCATGGAAGTGACTATGTTATTCGGCAATTAGAAAGCGTACGGGAGTTCCATAATAGTCCAACGGCATTTTATACCAACAAAAAATAGATGATCAATACATTGAACAATTAAAACACTCGTTTTTAAGGGAGGTATTTCCTTTGGGGTTAAAAATGACACCCCAGTTTTTTTAGGGGGAGGTACACGTTTAAAGTATCAGGAATTCGAATTAAAATCGATTATGTCGATCGCTGTCTGTCTGTTTGTACTTGGGCATTAAAGAAAGAGCTTAAAAGTGTTCCGGTAGAACGCGCCTGCGCATATGTGCGGGTAGTATCTGTGCTAGTCACGGCAAATTTTTTATTACTGTCCCTGCTCGCCTCTCTTACAGGTGAAATATCTATTCCGTTTTTATTTATTACTTTCCGTAACCTTTATGAAATGTGAATCGGGCCCACACTCTTTTGTTTATTCAGTCACGCAGATAAGCTTTTTACGTGGCAACATTGTGAACATTTATAGCGTCAAATAAACATTGTCCGTTTAAACGAGGTGACCCATATTAAGATGTAGGGAAGGCCTGCAACGTGTTAAAAACCGATCGTTTAGAAATATTAATTTAGATACATATACATTAGTCCAGTCGACAGGTTGGAAAAAGTGGTGTTAGATGGAGAAAGGTCGGTAATAAAACTTTGGGATTTTGTTGAGGGATGGTTATTCAACATTTTCTCAAGCATTGGACCTCTTACACCCTGCGTGAAAGGATGTGGGCGAGGGGAGAGGACTGTATTATGTTTGACCATTCTTCGGCAATAACAATTTCTATATTTTTTGTAGAACGTTAAATTTCCAACAATTTTAAGACGTTTGTATGTCAAATCGTTACCGAGATATCGGACTTCGAAGAAACGTCATTTTTCAAAATTCGATAAAAAATTCAGAATTCTACCCTAAAAATCAGGTGCTTATATCCAGTAATGTAACTGTATCTACGCATGTTAGGTACTTCCTGCACTGGCTTTTGAACCCACGATTAAGATTCATGGACTTCAAAACCTGTCTCGAACAAATTACCATAATACCAAAGTCACACTTGCACTACGCTACCGGGTCCGATGAAGATTATGTTCAAAACGTAAGCAACAACGAGACAATTAACTTCCCCGCGACCATGCTCTTGTATTTGTATGTCTTGACTATCCATCTCATTTCTTCCCTTAGTCTTTCAGCTTGCTGAGATATTATCTGCTAGATGATGCATCTGCTCTTTAAAACCTCGCCTGATTTTTGACGGGAGATTATTATGATTTAAAACCACGATCTCCTTAATTTTATTTTCCCGTTTATGTGCATATCATCCCCAGAGGAGCTTTCATGGTCTCACAATCTCTTCTACCAGTACACGACCCCTTTGCATCGTTTCCACGTAGGATCAGGTGCCACCTTACTTCCATATCTGCCATTTTGTTAACACTCGCTAGTCTGTTAGAATGAGCTCATGATTTGCATTCTACCAATCACGATCCTCTTACCTTTTTGATGCTTCGAATGTCACCAATAACTTTATCAAATGTGGACTGATCATATCAATCTCAATCTTTTTTTTTGGGGAGCAATATACCGGGATCAAAGGATCCTTCCTCCTTTCCCTGACGCCGAGTCGGTCGAGGATTGCTCGCTCCTGGACACAATCCGAAACCTCACACCGAATCTGTTTTCTTTCTTGTACAATCGCAGTTGATGTTCATTTAAAAAAGGCGTTATCCTTACATTTTGCCTTCACAGTACTGGGGATCAAGGGATAGAGGTAAATTGAATGGAATATTAAAGAATTTGATTTGAGAAAATCTGCAGATGGGAGTATAAGAGAAGCTGTTGGCATCGTCCCTTTACCTGCCCATTGATCGCCTTTTACGATCTCCAGGAACGGGAGTGGGCCAATTCTACCCCCGGACCCGCAGGGGTTTAATAACATAATGTATCTACAATTTTATACCACCCGCACAGTGCGAGTGGTATTGCATTGGGGTCAAAAATTACCCCCCCCCCCCAATCCGAATCAAACAAAATCTCTATGATGTCGGTCCGTCTGTACTCTCATTTCCGGCTAAACGGCTGAACCGATTGGAACCAAATGTGCTACACATATTCGTAGACATATTAAAATTGCAGTTGTTATTTGTGTCAAAATGAATTTCTACTTTTTATTTTCTTTAGATCCTTAGTGTAGTTCAATCGTTGTGCGCGTGAAGTCATTTATGGAGTGTATGTTGTATTTAAAAGTTGCCAGAGTTAAATAAAGTTGTACAATATAATTTTTATTGGGTCGGAGAGTTATTTGCATATGTGTAACCACTTAAAAATAGGCAAATAAAAGAAGAATGGTCCGGACAATATAATCCATAAAGCGTTTCGGTAATACACGACATAAACATTTTCATTACATTTTCTGGGGCCACAAAATAAAGATAGTTTCAAGCAGGCATAAACAACTACCCGGAATATTACAGCTGCATAATATGCAAATCCATTTTCATCTCACAAAAGGCTTGTGAAGTACAGTTCCTGCAAACGACGCTGAATTGCGCCCAACGAGGTATTATCCCCTATCTTTATAAAAAATATACTCAACGTCATTATTTGTTAACTTTATATTTAACTACCAATACAGTAAATTTATTTAACAACCACTTTCCTTCCTTGTCCTCATAAATGTTGGCAAAATCGCACGTGCACACATGAGCAAGTCCGACAGCTTTTATCTGGCCGGAGCCTGAAGAATAATTTGCCTCAGCCTTCATCTAATTATTCCCTTACAAATTTTGCGCAAACTTTCTCACCCGGTTTATGCTGCTATAGAATAGATATATTCACCTACTGCACCCTAAAAGACACGCGCTTTTGAGGGGCTATTGTGATTTTACAAAGTTTACGGTTACCTTTCTTTTACTGCGTAAGTTTTCTGGTCCCTTCGGGCCGCTCGCACAATGCACGAAATTTGAGCAACTTAACCTTACATAATTCCAAGAATGCGTTGGCCATTTGTGCAGATCATAAAACTTTAATTCTTTGCGGTTAATTAAGATTAATGTGTTAAACTGGGTCGTTTTTCAATTAATTTCCTATAAAAATTCAATTGGGAAACTTATTTGATATGGATCACGTGCAAGATGTAAACCGGCTCAGATGGCCAGCCCTGTTGCTTTTGATCGCGAGGGTGTTTAGTTCCCTAAGGTAAACTCCACGTGTCTTCCCTAAGAAATCCAATATCTCTTAGTCGCCTCAGTTAAATAATCTAAACCCAAATGCAACATCCTACATTCTTTATGTAAATGGCTCAAATCCCGTCTACATCAAGGCGAAAAAACTGCACTTTTTTTGCTTTCAGTAGAGGAACTTTTGTTGAGGATCATGGGGAGTTGTTCCACCACGATTGTACGTGAAGACGACGCATTCTAAATTGTGAGCAGTAGGCGAAGCTAGAAGCTTCGGAGCTTTCAGGTTTTCAGTAGTTCGTATTTGACCATCGCATGAGATAGTCACGCCGCTACCGCTACGTTAACGCACGCGTAACGTGCACGTACGTCTATACACAAACACTAACTTTTAACATAAATTTAGTGTTGTTGTTCATTGCTTTGTGTTTAATTTCATTGGATAAATGACGACAATAATCTAGCAAATACGGTAGGTTTAGCAATATTTTTCCAAAACGCACCTAAAGACCTACGTTGAAATTTTCATTATGTTCATAATTAAAATTTTTAATCTTTAATAAAGTAGTAAGTGGCTTCCTTTCAGGTTTTTATCTGGAACTCCACTATTCAACCCTTTCGAGGTCCGCATACTTAAACGAGACTTAAAATTTTTATTAAGCTAGAAATTGTCGATTTTCCCCTTACACGAAGGAACGCGTGTTCTACATTTTTTCCCATATAGCCAAGTCAACGTACCTCGGAAATTTTTCACCCTACACAATCTAATTGTTTCTTTTATTATTAAATTATCCTATTAGGCCCCGATAAAACGACGTCTGCCTTCTACGAAACAATTTTATTTCAATTGGTTAATTACATTTTAATTCAATTAAAGATAATAATTAGTTATTAATTTCTTTTTTCCCCATTATTCGATTAATTAGTTGAGGAAGTTCAGTCGTGGGGATGTGCCTTTTTATCCTGGGCCGAAATGCGCACTACAATCATCAAAAATGGCCTATTTGTAACATCGTTTCAACGTGTTTGTCGGCCAATTAGAAATCTTTCACTTTCCATTTTTTAATGCCGCTTTATTACACAAGTAATCCACGGCCACTTCCTTCTCTATAAATGTCAAGATTAGTATTAAAAAGGTTAAGATCTGTTTTCCAATTTTATTGGTATGTTAGAAACAAGTTAGCCCGTAATCCCATCGATGGAATGTATCCATAAAATAGAGTATTGAAAAAGCAAAGCATTCCACAGCTTTAATGCTAATTACGAATATTTTTGCATTTTTCATTAAAACACGCATGTTTATGTGATCGAAATGGGCAAACAAGAATTTTTACTAGCCATCATTTACATGTAGGCATAAAGTGGCTGTATACCAACATAACCAGAAATTAACGGAGCGGCTGAAGATTAATTTTTTGTTTTAAATAAAAAACATATTAACAAGATTCTTCAATATATGTATACTTTAAGTATTTTACTGTGGCAACACAGTGTGGTCTTTCATTGATTTGACAAGGTCGTGATACAAGATTAAGCTCTGATGTATGTGAATCGAACGAAAAAGGCTGGTGACATATCCATGAAACTAATAGTTTAGTGAAACGGTACCTACTAAAAATGGAGAGAGTGGAATTTTTTAAACGTTTACGTAAAATTGCATTTAGAGACGTCAAGTATGAAATGCAGAAGGAATTCGCATCTGCATTCATTCCAAGGTATTAGAATATAATATGCATTAAAATACTAAGAAAAACTGCAGTTGGATTTTAGTGCTTCACAAACTTATTGAAATATTTTACATATGGTTCAGAATATGAAATATTTCACGCTTTTTATTCCTTTAATTGGATAACCAAATTAAAAATGACGTTACGCTCCACAGCACAAAGTGAGTTAATACTTTTCATCCCTTTTTTTAACCTACAGCTGCGATTATCACACCTGATTCTATTTAGCGAATCAGATTGCAGCTTATATGGAAATCCTTCCTGAAATTAATAACCCGCTGGTGTCTTGATTAAATTCTATTTTAAAATGCGTTTCCAACAAACGTTTAAAGTGCTTAGAACGCCTTAGCTAATTCCGGTAATTGTTCAGCGCACGTAAATTTGCTATGGTGTGCAGATTTTCCTAGTAAATACCTGCAGTAGCGCGGGATCGAAATTAACGAGCTTGTTAAATGTAAAGGAAGACTCCAAGGTGTAGTCAAACAACAATCTTAAGCTTCCATTTTCCAAACAGAATAATATTTGTTTCCTACAGTTTAGTAAATGCCAACATTTCAGAACACCTGCTCGATATCTGACACAAAGCTTACCGCGACGTTGAAGTTAACGTGAGAGCAGTTGCTCGAAAATAACAATAAAAACACGAATTTTGAGTGTTAAATGGACCCTTTTAAGTCCAAATAGTTTCCTTTGATTATTTTTATATTAATCTTACAATCACCAGTAATCAGTTCGAATTAAATATTTCTACTAATAACTATTAAGTATAGGTATCTCGATATAGGTACTTCTTTATGAACTTGTATTTTGTCGGCGAAATTTCGAGACGTATGGGAATTTTAAATTTAAATGTGAGAAGTGGAAAAAATGGTGCACGGCTTTTCACCATGAACAACAAAAATGCACCATTTTTTGAGCTAGAATCTATTGCAACTTGTCACCAGAAATGTATGAAGGTTTTTTTGCGAATTGTCTGAACGCTTACATGTAATTTACCTAAAATGTTTCGTTTTGCCCCTTTCAAATTATATTATACAGTCGCACTTTTAGCAATGAGCAATGAGAAAGGAGAGAACTTCTGTGTAGTGTCAAATAGCTTTGCATCTTTGATGGATCATATTTAAGCAGCTGTACATATGAAAGCAACCCTCTTCTCCTCACCCTGCTTTAGAATGAAATCTTTTATAACATTCGCTATTGACTTATGCAATGACTCACTTCTTTTTCCGATTATGTTGAAAGTCCTGCATTAGCAAGCTTCACATGTTAGCCCCCGCAATTAAAAAAGATGTGCAATGAACATGTCTAAATAGTACTGATCCAATTTTAATTAATTAATTTTATTTTTCACCTTTATTTATAAGTGGGCGGGGTTTCAGCCAAGGCTACTCTACCAACCCACCCCAATATACATTTAGAAAAGAAATCAAAAATTGACAAAATCAATAACGTTTTAAGTAAAGTAAATTCGGCAATGTTAAAAAGAAAAAAGAAATGTAACACATTAAGAACATCGGAACAAATACTAAACCAATAAATCAATTTTGTCGCAGTTTAACTTTAAATAATAATCGAACCGGTAACGGTTTAAAAGCCACTGGAACACTATTATATACTTTGGAAGCTTGGTACGAACAGGATTTCTGAAACAAAGCGGTCCTATGGGCAGGTGGAGTAATCGAGTCCCTTGAAACGTACGTTGGGTGTATGAACATGCGTTCTAAATTTGAGTTTCTCAAACAAATATGGTGGTGTTTAATTTACAATAATTTTATGTAAAAGAGTGCCATAGTTTAACAGCCTTCTGTGAAATTCGGTCATATTTTCTAATTAAATAAATATACCTTAGGCATATCTTAGACATTTTCTGTTGGCGAATTCTTTTGTGAAGGCACGGCCGTAAGCTGACATTTTTACCATTTTTGTGACTCGGAATTTTTTTTTCAAATTTTCAAAAACTGATTTTAAATTCATTATTTTTATGTTGAAAGCTCAAAGACACCAACTTTCTTTTCTTGTACCCCCGTTTAGTAAAAATTTTGGAAAAGCTGTCACCCTTACTCCGGATATTGGTACAAGTATCGTGCATTAGCAATTCTGTCATTTGAACCGTAATAAATATCCTGCCTTTCCAAACATTTTTTGTATTACATGATTAGCTACACACAACAGTAAAAATTTTCTGTGGCTGGCACAGATACCAGTCGCACACTTGCGCATGCGCGATTCTGCCCAAAAGCTTTATAGCTCTTCCTTTTATGTCTAAGAATATGGTTGTCCAATCGGTTCAACCGATTAGCCAGACATGAGATTCATCGAGAGTTTGTTTGATTCGATGAATTTCTGTATGTTTCCCGAGTAGACGCACATGAACGTAAACCGAACACAAAAGTTCCTATTGTACTGAATATTCTAGAAATACCGATAGACAGCGAGGCGCCATGAAAGACTATAGTCATCGGCGACAAGAAACTAAGGCGAGGCGGATGTCACGCAGTCTTTCCGGGAAATATGAAGCGTTTGTTTGACCACATTCGAAAGTGTTCTGGAGCACTGGATAACATTCTAGAAAGATTGTTGTTTGCTAAGCAAATCGAATTGTGTTTAAAGTTCGTCGTAACATCGAGGTCTAAGTGAAATATTAAGCTCTCGCTCTTGTTATGTTATAAATTGTGATACATAATAATTACTGTTATAAATTAATCCATTTCAAGACTGTTATAAATTTATTATTAATTAATTTAATTGTACATAAATAAATCACGTAATTAAATTTACGTTACACTACTTTATTGTAAAGCATGGCACAAACATTGCGTACATGTTACCCAAAGTGATTAACCCTTAATTATAATTTAAGAAAAACAGATATAGGATATATATCGCGCAAATGTTGGCAACCTTAGACAGTTAAGACAGTTTTTGAGAAATTTTGGGAAATACTTTGGTGAAATAATTGCGTACATAAAGAACATTGTAATTTGAAAATTGAAAAAAATCTTTCATAACTTTGCAATCTTAGCAATCTTAACCGAGATCTTACCTAGTTTATTATGTCAAGTGTTTAGGGCATTGAAGAGATTTCGAATAAATGAATTGAAACATTCGTATTATTACAAATAAAAGAATTCTTTTCACCTAAACTTGCCCTTAAGTAAGTACACGGTCGACTGCCTCAACTATTTCTGCATTTAATGGGTTGTAATATTAACTATCTTGCCCAATGTTTTCTTACAATATTATTGAAATTAAAACTTCCATTTTTTTCGAAATGTGTGGCCTGAAACTTAGAAAATGTTGTGGAAACGTTTTAAAAATATAGAACATTAAATGGGGTAGTGTACTTGTAGGTTGTGTTCGTCCAATTTCTTTTTATATTTACACAGCGGACCTTCGGGGTAGCTTTAAGAAGCCTCTTTTATGTTTTATTGTTATCCAATAACTTTGATGTTTGCTGTTTACATATCAGCGTAATAATGTTAATAACAATGTCTACTTTACTACCATTCGTAATTGCAGCAATTTATCGGATAACAAATCTTTTAATTTCAACTTTTACAAAAAGAACGCAAATACTAAGAGGGAAATAAGTTTCATCTGTAAGTATAAACCGCAGCGATTCCGAACTAACGAACTTAATTTTAACATTAAAATTGAAATTTCTAACTAAAGTTAAAACTTATCAGATCAAAGTGGTCAATCAATTAACGAGTTTTGGCAAGGGTAATACCAAAGGATTTGCGAA